GAAATGTCGTTGTATTTACGTAGTTTTCTAAATCGACATGGATGGTTAAAAAAGACAGTAACTGCAAAAAAGAATTTTAATTCATGTACATGTTAAGGTCCAATATCTATAGAAAATAAAAAGATTCCAAACTGATCAGCTCTAATCAAAACAGAGAGAAGAATTCAAAGCATATATTATAAAAAAATGTTTTATACATCTGGATAAAAAAATTAACCTGTGTTTTTTGAAAGGAAAAATCAAAGGCAAGTTCGTATGATGAGAGAATATGTTGCTGACAGAGTTGGTAGGATGTTGGTGTTAAGATGAGATATATTCCAATTGTGATTTTTAATGACTACATTTTTTTTTGTAGACCTATTTGGACATTGCAGAAAGAGTAACGTACATTTCCAGCTACATTTCTAAATAAAATCATCCCCTACTTTAACGTCTTGTCATTATTCAATGTATTAAAATTTGATGAAATGAAAACTTGTAACGAAATCTTCAGATACCATCTTTCAAAGATAATTGATAGAAAAACTGTTATCTTCATTTTTTTTTAAAAATCAGAGAGGCATTTGTGCCCTTATATTGAGAATGGGTGTACTACAGTTTGAACCGTTTGATATTTTTCGGACAGCCTTAGCATAGGCGCGTCGTCAAAGTTTGATTTGGGGGGGGGAGGGGTAGCAAATATTTGTTATTACCGAATATAGACCTTTCTTGTAGGAGATTATAACACTTTAGTTCATTGGTACATGTATTTGGACCGGGCCATTTTATGAAATTAGTGAATCAACCTCTTTACAGATTAAAGTGAAAATATAACAAGGTTCAGAATAGTTCTATTAAGCTTTATATGTTATCTAAAAATGCATTTCTGTTCGCAATGTCAAACAATGTCATTGTACTCAGTTGGCGCTCATGGAAAAAAAAGTTTTTAAAAAGCTTTTCACATTTACAAGGATAACAGCAAAAATGTAAACTTTTGAAAATCATAGAACGTTAATAATCTTGAAATTTAGAAAATATTTTTGTGCCTCATTTAAATGCAAAAGAGGTGGAAAAAAACAAACAAACGATCCAGGCATTAATTTTTTTTTTTTTTTTTTTTGGTTAGTTTTATCTCCTTAAAATGAGTGACAGCAATTAAGCATAATATTTCCTGTAAAATTAAGGATAATGAAATTAAAGTATCTTAAATGGACATTCAGGAAGAGGGATTTGAGGAAATAATGCATAAAAATTGCAATGCTTCATGCAAAAAAATATAATAATCGAGAATGCATTTAATGCATTATTTTGTCAAAAAAAAAACAAACAAAAATTATAACAAATATTTCATTAAGTCAAGTCTGACTCGTATGTAATGGATATACTGTACATCACTAAATTTCCGCACTTTATTTTCGCGAGATAAACATTGACTCTTGATTATCGAGGAAAAATTTTCACGAATTGTAGTTATTGCTATAAATAATCTTAAGGAATGCCAATATACGAGAGAATCAAATTTTCGCGAGCACACCGTCTCGCGTAATTACGCGAAAATAAAGTTCTCGCGAATAAGTGATTTACAGTATGCCGAATTCTGTTCTATATGACTTGTAAGATTATTAGACTCCTTTAATATGACCGTTGAGTGAATTGGTTTCAGAAAAATCTTGGAAAGATGCGAAAATGTCAAAAAATGTATTATCAATGAAATAACAGATCTTTGTTCTATGTTTGTTTTGTTGACTGAAGAATGTATATTTTGCGCACACTTTGATGATAGCAATTAATGAAGTAAATCTCCACTCATGTACACATAGATGTTTTTAAAGTGTAAAGAATTAATTTATATTTTTTTACGTTAGGGTGTATATGTTCCATAATAAAGCCGAACTGAATTCAATCTCTGGTGATGATTGCAATTTGTGGAGATTTACATAAAGTAAACATTTTTGATCAAAGAAAAGTTTTCAGAATTGAGATGTTTTTAATTTGTGGCAAAATAGCGTTCGTTTTTCGCCCAGTTTTAATCTATATATATATTGTGTTGATAAGTCTTTGAAGGAGCTGTAAATTTGAATTGATAAGACATTGAACCGTTTAAATACTAGCTACGCAGTAGGAATAATCAAGGTATGTGATATTTAACTATTTAGTCAAGAATGACAAAAACAAATCGTGTATTTATTTATTTGTTTGTTTGTTTAACATCCTTTCCAGAAGTTTCACTTATGCTGACACGAAATCACTTGCTTTAAGAGCGCTGCAATTTTGGATTCATGTGGCACAAACGCTTTGAGCAGTGAGGTATCTTTCTCATGCCATCTATGTTTAACTTAATGGTTACATCCAAAGGACATGTCTCCTCGTGTTGCAGCGAGAATGAAATCGGAAAGTAAGGATCAACTCTGCAATTCTAAAGTACATGCTATATACTGCGCCATCCGAGCGAATACACCAGTTGTACGTGTACTCATAATACTCAAGCTTTAAAATATTATGAAAAAATGTCATGAAAGTTATTGACTAACAAATCAAAATGAAATAGGTGTACTTAAATTATGAGGAAAAAATATAATTTGAAAAAGAACCACTTAATTAATGAGGAATGTTTTTATTTATATATGATTAACAAGGTCGACTGTTTTCAAATTTGAATCTAAACCATTGATTTCTGAAATTTTGTATGAGACTTATGTAAATAGATATAATATTTTTGAGTACTGACCTGTTTATAAATCGTGGATAAGTTCAGAGATAACAGAGAAATTCAAACTTTGTTGAATTATCTATGACATAATTATATTTCAGATAAATACCTACAAGGTATGTATGAAGTTCATTTAAATTTTTCAACAAAACCAGGTTTCTATAAAACGGAAACCATTGTTTATTACTTGCATCATTCCTTCATTATAAACGTTTTAACATAAACAAATTGTTTGCCTTAATATGATACTGCAAGGTAATGTTAGCTATAACCCAGCATTGTTAAATGTTTCTCTTGACCAAGACAAGCGTTTTAATTCAAATATTAAATAATACAGTCAAATATTATAACGACTTCATTGCTTATTCGTTATCTAAGAATGACTCTAATTCATAGCCATATGTAGATAGTTTAGATTTCTCTTTACTCTTTATAGAGAAAAATGGAGTCCTTTGTTCTCCGAATGCTGGTTATCGTTATGATCATCGTTCAGGGGGAAGCAAAAAAGACTTTTTGTCCTGGTAGCGTATGCTTTTGTCCAGACAGACTTACCGCGGATTGTTCCAATAGAAACCTTGTGGTTATCCCAGATGGATTGCCGAGGAGTGTTAACACTTTGATATTGTCAGGAAATAATTTCTCATATCTATTGAACGACACATTCAACTCTATCCGCCATTTAAATATTACAAACTTAATGTTAGATCATTGTCAAATAAGGAATATGTCAGAAGATTCCTTTGAGGATTTACAAAGCCTGGTTAGCATTGACTTAGCTTATAATGACTTACATTTAATAGATATATACAATGGTGTACGACAACTTGGAAGATCAAATGTGAAAGTGCTAAATATGTCTGGCACTGAGTTATATACTGAATTACACCCGTTTCTTCGGAATAATATATTTTCTACAGATTGGTTAATGGGGCTGGAAGAAATTGTAATACGATCCTGTCGTATGCGATATTTTGCCTTTTTCTCTTTTAGAAAATTATCAAACCTCAGGAAATTAGATTTTGGAAGCAACTTCATATTTGGTTATTACATATTTGATTATCACAAACCACCTATTCAAATGGATACTTTAGAAGAGCTGAATTTCACAAAAAATAATTTTGAAACTCTCCCCGATTTCTGTTTGAATAGCACGACACCAGCATTTCCAAACCTTAAAAAACTGTATATGGCAAACAATAATTTGACGCATACAAAAAATTTTAATGTTCAATGTCACTGCCTCCAACAAGTAACTTTTTTAAACATTTCACTGAATCTTTTCCCGGAAATCACCATGTTTTCCTTTGCTTGTATGCGTCATCTACAAACTCTTATCATAGGTAATCTACGTGGAGTTGTGTTGCGGAAAGATGCGTTAAGTTCGAAATCTCTTCAAACACTGTCCATGGAACGAATTCTGGACATAAAAGATAAGGAATTCAGATATATGTTAGAAACATGTCCAAATCTTAAGGTTTTGATAATAAAGAATACCGATTTTTCTAAAACTGATCTTAGGAAAGTGCTGCAACCTCTGAAACAATTGATATCCTTGACAATTATTAATGGTGGAATAAGCCAGATGACTCCTCTTAATGATTTTACAAACTTGACATATATTGATTACAGCTTTAATAAAATTAAGGAAATTCAAGGAGACATTTATCAAAATTTGTCCCTTTTCAATACATTAGTTCTTCAAAACAATAGTTTGAGTAATATCAATAAAACATTTTTGACACCTGATCTCTGGCAGAAGAAAGATTTCTTTCTTGATGTATCATTTAATCCCTTTGATTGTGGATGCCAGCTGGAATGGTTCAGAGTGTGGATAGAAAACAACAAACAGAGAGCGATTGGGTACCCAAAAAACTATATTTGCAATTCTCCATCTGAGTTAAAGGAGAAAAGCCTATCAAACTTTGATCCAGTTTCGGAGTGTCACAAAATAAATCCGTATATCATTTTAGCCTTTATTTCCTGTGGACTTTTGTCAGTTCTGATTTTCACTACAGTTCTTTTGAGAAAATTTCGCTGGGATATCAAATATTATATATACATTTGCAAAAATAGAAAACCATCGGGATACAAAAGGTTTACAAATGATGAAGAATTTTTATATGATGCTTTTATTGCTTACAACACAAACGACAGAAAATGGATCATGTCGGAACTGGTTCGAATGCTTGAAAGAAACCACAAATATAAACTCTGCCTACACGAAAGAGATATCATTCCAGGGGGAGTTTATGTAGAGGACATTCTCGAAAGTATCGACACGAGCAGGAAGTTAATGTTGGTTCTCTCCAATAATTTTTTGGATGATCAGTGGTGTAAGTATGAAACAGCTCTGGCGAGTCACACCCTGGCAGACGGGGACGGTCATAAGCTTTTTCTAGTGTTGTTGGAGGATATTCACTCCGAGCACATCAACAGGTCCCTGAAAGTGCTCCTCAAGTCTATACCTCATGTCGAGTGGACGGAAAATAAAACGGGGCAGAGAATGTTCTGGGAGACAATCAAGAAATTCATGGACAGTAATTGAAATGCAACATACATGTACTTTTCTGAGATAAAATCAGTTATCTTTTTGATTTTATATTCAAATGGAATAAATTGTTTCTTTAAGATTTATAAATATATGCGATTTTACAACTAACTTTGCTAAAATATAAGTCTTATTGTAGAAATGCATGAACCGAGTACTTATACCAAGGAAACTAACACTTATTACTAAATGTGTATTAAACTGTTTTAGAATGATTATAATTCCATACATTATTATTACAATCTTGATTCTTAAAAAAATATTCTTAAAAAATTAATGTTTTTAATTTTCAAAATTAAATGAACATTCATTTTTATAATTAAAATTAATGATTAATATTCATATATTTTCTAAAATAATACGAGAAGAGCATTCTTGGTATATTTTAAGGCGTATTTGCTATGGGAGCTCTTAATCTTGCTACGCAATATGTAAAGTGATTGAGTTCTCAGGCTAAATTTGCCAATCTTTGCTCCGCTTTTTAAAACGAGGTTGGAAAGGGGAGGGGTTTCAAGATGACATCATGAAACACGGTTGGACTAAACATAATGTGTAACGATGAAGCTAAACAGTAGCCTATTGTTTTTGCCACAAGTGACATTGTCTCATTAGCTTATTGCACAGGATTTGGTAAACGTTATCTTTATTTGGGCGTTAGAAATTATCGTTTATTTCATTTTCGCACTATTTGTCACTAAGTTGTACTTGTTGCTATTTTTATCAACGTATACTCGTCTGGTCAGTTATTTATACTGGGTGTTGGCTTGTGTTCATCAAAACGCCGTGAGTTATACTTTACCCATGCCTAGTGATCTTCGGTGTGTGCCTTTTATGTAACCCATGCTCTGTGAACTTGAGTGTGTTCTGTTTCCCCTGCTGTGTGATCTTGGGATTCATGG